TTTTCCACCACTTCGTCTAGTCTTTTCTTCAGTTTAGAAGAATGCGTGTGGCTGCTACTTGTAACGCCAGTGGTATGCTCCATCTAAGGACAAGAGATACTGTCCGGATGAACTTGTACATTGTCACAGTCTTTAAGTCTGAAAGAGCCGATAGAAATTGCTTATCACCTTCCGGTTGACGCATTGACTAAGTCAAGCCAAAACGATGTGGAATGGAGAGGTCGAACAAGGGAGAATTATAAGTTGCAAATTCGTGGTGAAGGAAGTTCACAACTTCAAACATTCTTCTGCGCAACGTCCTGGCTTCATCCCATATGACAACATCCAGAGCCTTTATTCTGTCTCGAATAAGGAGAATTCGCTGCCCACCTGTCTATCAGTTTACGCCAAGGTAGCTCCGCTGTTAATAGACTGATAGGAAAAAAAGTGAAAGGTCAAGGCTGAGCCATGATCGTAAACTTGGCAGGCAATGCCTCTCGAGCATATGACACCAACTGTCTTTCCATGCGCACGTGCCTTGAAACACTGAACGATCTGTTTCACTACTTCATTTTTCCCCACCCCATCCTGACCAGTAATAGCTAAGTTGTGACCTTGAGAGGGAAACTCCAAAATTTCCTCCAGGTCACTATTACGTTTTATCCCAGAGCAGATGGTTTTGTACAATGCAGCCATGAGTGAAGTAAGAGTTGCAGTCGAGTGGCTTTTTCGTGACATTTCAAACTATTTTAAGTTTTATTGATTCGCCAATTACAAATAAAAATGAGTTCAGTTGGGAAATTTTACATTGTTTGTGCCCTTTTGGAAAATGCATTGACCCCTCTGTATGATAACATTGTGACAGAAAAGTTTGAACCTCAACCACCTTTATAGGACTACTTCCAATAATTTTAGTTTGTCTCATTCTGTTCTTTGGCCAATGGAAATTTGTAAATTATATATATAAAATATGGAATTTATCACAGCTGTCTTTCGCGACTTGTGTACTTTGATGCAGTTAAATTTACAGCTATTGATCCTATGCATAATTTGTTTTTAGGAACAGCAAAACATGTTTTTAAACTATGGATTAAGAAGAACAAAGACAGGTCTTAAAGTGCCTGAGTGCCTGAAGAGCGAATCCATTCTTTTGATGTTGGGACAGGAATTGGTCGATTACCTCATCACATTGCATCAAACTATAGTAGTTGCACTGCATCACAGTGGAAGAACTGGACTCTTATCTATTCCGTGTTCTGTTTGGAGGGTCTGCTTTAAGTAAGTCGTATAAGATGATGGCAAACATTTGTCCTCGCTTGCCAGTATACATCTTCTCCAATTATATCAAAGATTGACATTGTGAAAGCTGACATGCTGTTTGTCACATTTGGTGAACGATTTGAATGTTTATATGGCAAGAAAGCTGTGACCCCTAACATGCACCTTCACAGTCATTTAAAAGAATGCATCATTGACTGCCAACCAGTACATGCATTTTGGTGATTCAGTTCTGAACGTTTTAATGGTATTCTTGGAGCAATTCAAGTTATGGAAGATCGATTGAGGTGCAGCTGATGTGGAAACTTCTTGCTGAACGGTTTATTAGGGATGCAAAGTTTCCTGCTGAGCTCCAAGATACATACATACATACATACATACATACTTTATTTATTCCAGAAGCAGATGATAACTATTATATACAAATAAAACTAAAAAGAAAATACTTCTAGAAAAGGAAGTTAAGAGGTTATCCCTGTGTAAAAACTCCCTTAAAAGAAAAGACAAAATATAAATCAAAATCATTACAATCAAATATTTAAGTACGATTTAAGTTTAGATTTAAAATGCTGAAAGCTGTCAGCTTCCACTATATCACCCGGTAACTCGTTCCATAATTTGACAATCCTAATAAAAAAAAGAATTTTTGTAACAATTAAGTCTAGCTGGTTTAATATAGAGTTTGTATTGATGATTTGCTCTCGTAGACCGAATCGTGGCAATATCAAAGAAGTCTTCAAAATTTAAATGATAAAAACCAAAAACTATCTTATAACATTCGACTAAAGATAAGTAAGTTCTACGGTCAGAGAGAGTGGGCCATTTTAACAGTTTGCATCGGTCTTCATAGGACATTTCTCCTTTGCGTTGATTTAAAGCGAGTCTTGAGGCTCTTCGCTGTACATTTTCAAGGGCATGGATGTCCTTAACAAGGTAAGGACACCAAACAGGTACCGCATATTCCAAGATTGGCCGTACCAGAGACATGTACAGCATAGAAAAAACATTTGTGTTAGCGGTGCCTACTGAGCGTTTAATGGAACCTAAAACTTTGTTCGCTTTATTGACAGTGATACTTATGTGATGGCCCCATGAAAGATCTCTAGTTAGTGTGACACCGAGATCTTTAAAATTAGTCACGTCTTTCAGGGGCTTTTCTAAGAAATAATTAGTTACCGACTTATCGCGTAAATGCGTGATTCGCATAGATTCGCATTTGTCTGCGTTGAAACGTAGCTGCCACTTACGAGCCCATGCGCTAAGATTATTAAGATCATCCTGAAGAAGCTGACTATCTTTTATAGGGTCAATTATCTCTCTGTAGATCTTCGTGTCGTCTGCATATAATTTTACTGTAGATGATAGGAATTCAGATATGTCATTAATATACAATAAAAACAATAGGGGCCCGAGAATGGTTCCCTGTGGAGTTCCGGAGGTAACGCACGACCAATCAGAATAAGATCCCCTAACGACTACACGTTGTTTGCGCCCCACCAAAAAATGTCTCAGCCAGTTGAGTAAACATTCGTCGATGCCGCTACATTTCAATTTTAAAAGCAGTCGCTCATGAGGAACGCTGTCAAAGGCTTTGGCAAGATCCAGAAAAACAACATCGGTAGGAGTGGATGAATTACGGGATTTCGCCCAGTCATTAAACGTTGATAACATTTGAGTTGTAGTAGATCTTCCTCGTAAAAAGCCAAATTGGTTGCTATTGATAAAGTCGATTTCGCGCCAGAACTTAATCATCCTATCAAAAACAATTTTTTCACAGATCTTACAAGCAATTGAAGTAAGGGAAATTGGGCGGTAATTTTCTCTCGAAGATTTGGAGATACCTTCATGCCTTTCTTTACGCAGGCAAGAAATGACATTGTTCAGAGTTTGAATGTGAAGAATGCCACCGCTCTATTTAATAGTGCATTTTGCTTACATCTTGGGGACTTCCAGTGGAGTGATCTTACACTTGTTAGTCATCCTAGCACATTCAAGCAGTATGCATTAGATTCTGATGAGCTGAGGGTGCTTCTTGACTGTTACAAAACACTGTATCCACATGAAGAAATTGAACTCTCCTCTTTATCCAGTGTTACCCGCAAGTATTCAAACATGATGCTTGGAACTGAGAAGTTTGGTTCAAAGATGGACTGTTGTAATCTGCGATCAGGACGAATAATAACTTCTTGGAGTACCTCTGATGGCACAGTTGATACTTCTGGAGCTACTAGACCAGGCATAGTTACCTTTTACCTTGTTCATAGTGTTAAGATTAGTGGCGAACTTAATCAGCATGTGTTTGCTGTTGTGTGGTGGCATAAATTTGATGAAGATCAAGATTTATTAAGTAGGATAGGATATATGTAGTCCATGTATCTCTTCTCTGGTATTTTGTCACAGAAAACAGTGGAGGGAGCATGTGCTGTTTTGGCATTTTTGAGGCACTTAGGAACCATAGTGTTTTTAATCACTGAATACGGATTTGGTGACTCATTTTATTGCTAGGCCAATTCAGCTTTATTGTCCAATTATGTGACAATGAATGCATGAGGATATCTATATTTTCACTATTGTTAATCGTTTCAACTATAATTTAAAGTTTATGCTTGAAAATAAATTATGTTTAAAATTTAAAAAACACTTTTGATACTTATCTCTGTCTAGGATTAGAGCAAATCTTGAATTCAATTTATTTTATTGACTGACTAAGGAATTTTTTTTATAAAAAAGATGAATTTTAAACAAAATGGAAAACATGGGTCAAGATTTTTTGTTTAGAGCCCGTGAAAGTCGACGATTCGGATATTGTATTTGGAGAGGAGATCGTTGTCACAACGACTCCTAGCGTCGGAGGAGGAACTATTGTGTGATGCCAAACTAGAGTAAAAGTTTTATAAACCAACTCAGCTCTTAAAACCGTTTCGGAAGAGGTACCTCATCTTAGGTCCTGAAACCCTAAACCCCACCCTGTGACATTTATCCTTTCCCAACGCGGACAAACCAGAGCGACTTCTAACCCAACATATTATGAAGTTATCGTTATGGTCAATTTCTTTGCACTAGGTGGCGTTGGAAGTTACACTGAGGAAGTGCAATTTTCTACCGCAGAAACTGGGATTGGTGAAACGGAAGAAGGAAGTGGACGTAGTAGTGTCGGCTCACCACAAATGTTACCTAGGCAGGCAGTCGCTGGAACACCAACGTCAAAAAAATTGGACGTCAAGCTCTGTCATCAGCTGGGAAGAAAGGTGCTCTCAGGGCTAAAGGGAAATCATCAGCTACAGACAAGAAGACAACATAGGAAGACATACTGCGCCTTAGAAAGAGAAAGCTCCAACTAAAAAAACGTTAAGCTGAGACTGGAGATAAAAAAAACTCAGAAAGGATCTTGAAAATTAATTTCATTTGAAAGGCGTCCAAAATGTAAATCAAATTGATTATATTAGTAGCCTTTGGATATTTGCTAAACTTATTGTATAATAATGCTATTGATAGTAGGAGGAATACTGTTAATTGGTGATGGGCGATATCAGAATTATGACCTACATGTACATTCACTTTTGCCTTTGGAAGTTAGGTGTAAGTGTACTTTGTGCTATATAACGTAATGATTACCGTCATTGAATAAAAAAATGGCCCATTTATTTGGCACGATATTGAAACAGCGGCAGTTTTTAATTCAGCGTAATTTGTATAAGTCCTCACATTTAAAGGAAGTGCTGCAGCAGCTGCTGCCTTCTGTCCTATTGTTCCTCTCCAGGACCGATATCCAACTCATCGTGGACGTTGTCAAGATCTGCATCGTCCAGCATATCATCGCCATTATCGCTAAATAGAATGCAGAGGTTGTGCAATATAACAGCACACTGGACAAGCCCGGCCTCTCTTGTCATGTTTTTCACTCTCATACCCGTCTGGAGAGCGTAAAACCTTTTCTTGAGAATGCCAAATGCCCTCTCGATAGTGCATCGTGTTTTCTTATGTGCCTCATTAAACCTGCAGCGAGCCCCTTCTACGTCTCCTCTGAATGGGGGGATCAACCAACTGTTACAGGCGTAGGCAGAGTCGCCTAAAATAACTGCTCCTGGGAATGGTCTATTCCCCTGTTGCTCAAAGGCGGTCCACAGCGAGCTTTCTTTAATTACTCGTGAATCATGCCACCTTCCAGGGCATCAACTGCTATAGAAGTAGATTGTGTAATCTGAGCCTGATACCATGGCGACATTCAGAGATTTGAAATGATGGCAGTTGACGTAGGGGTCTTCATCATTGCGAGGTGGGTTTACTTGAACGTGAGTTCCATCAACAAATCCTGCGACACACGGAAAGCCTGCGATGTCTCTGAATTTAGCGGCAATACTTAGAGGCTGACCAGCAGGCCATCGTATGAACTCCCGCTTCAAGCTTAGTATTGCAGGAACAACGCGATGAATGATGTGCCATACTGTTGATGTGGAGATCCCACGACAAGAGTGCATTATGTGATAGAAGGAATTTGTTCCAAGGAAATGGAGAAATACTAAAAGTTGCTGTCTTGCCGTTAGTGCTCTGCTACGTCTCGTTCTATACTCCAAGCGCGGGCCTATTAATTCCAAAAGGTGGACGAAGGCGTCCACAGGCAGAAGAAACTTCTCTCGAAATTCCCTTGGATTTTCGATTTCAAAAAGCCGTCTGTTTTGAAAATTCCTAGGTTGACAGATAACTTGACGTCTTAGCAGCTCGTCAAGTTCCTCTTCACTCGAGGATGGCATGTTGTGAAACTCCAGTTTCCTTTTTCAGAAGAAGTATTCATTGTTTACAAGTGACATGCGACTTGTATTTTGCACTTGTGATTTACAAGTCGGACTCTTGTAAAAGTTTTATTTAATATGATACTTACCATCTTTTACACTTGTAGCGATACACCTGTAACCTGGACTTGTAACGATGCTTATTAAACTCGTTTTCGTCTGCACTTGTAAATACAACGGTCCAACTTACAGATTACAAGTGTAGAAGTTTTGTAGAATTGACCCCAGTATAGTAATTGCTGTTTTCAAAATATTGGCATGGATGAAGTTTACCTTACCAACAGTATTAAATATTTAAGGAATTTTCAATAGAAATAAATGCAAATTAGCCATCATTTGCGTAAAAAAAATTACGAATCTTTCAAATTTACTAGCTCGTTCGAAAATTAAACATAAATCTGTTCAAATAGCTCTGACAGACTTCTTATTCTGATTCACGGCTTAAAGCACAACTTTAAAGCAACTTTACGCGGCAGCGTAAACTTGTTCGACTTCCTTTATGCCAACTTTACATACCCTTTACACAAGGCAGCGTATATGCAACCTTTACTTACCTTTAAGAAAATTTAATCCATGGCGTAAAGTTGGTAAACTACCTTTACGCCTACTTTACATTACCTTTATGTAAATGTAACCTTTAAACAGCTTTAAGGCGATTTAATTCATGGCGTAAAGTTGGATAACTTTAAGGAGATTTAAGCCAACTTTAATTTTTCGTAAATCTTTATTTTCATGCTGTGACAGCTTGCAAGAGTTTCACATCCTTCTCTTCAACCCACACCATCATAGATCTAATAACAATCTTAAACAAAAATTTCCTAAAAAAAAGTAGCTAGATAAACAAATATTGTCTTGACTAACTTGTAGTATAGAACGTACAATCAATCACTTATCCTACTTTTTAAATGAGAAAAGCAGCTTGCTTTGTCTTCAGAACTACAACCAAACATCTAGTGTATCAGATATGATCAGAGAACTAGGATGGGACACATTGGTAAAGAGACAAATGAAGAACAGTATTTCGTAATGAGACCAGGGGTCAATTCAATAAAACTTTTACACTTGCATTTTACACGTTGGACCGTTGCTTTTACAAGCGCGCAAAAAATCCAATTCAATAACTGTCTTTACAAGCCAAAGTTACAAGTGTCCGACTTGTAGTTACAGGTGTAGAGCTACACGTGTAGAATGTGAAATTAGGTCAGTTCAATAAAACGTTTTACAGGAGTCCAACTTGTTTTTGGCCTGCGGTCCACTTGTAAAATACAAGAGCAAATTACAAGTCATAAGTCACTTGTAAACTTCGAGAGCAAATTGTTGTTGGCCTCATTTAAAGAGATAGCATGTCATCTTCGAGTGAAGAAGAAATAGATGAACTTTTGAGAAATAGAATAAGACGACAGCCGAGGAATTTTGAGGAAAGACGGCTTTTCGACGCAGAAAATCCACGCGAATTTCGACAGAAGTTTCGTCTCCCAGTCGATGCATTCGAACATTTACTGGCAGCAGTGGGTCCGCAATTGGAACACAGAACACGGCGCAACAGAGTGTTGACGGCGAGACAACAATTGTTAGTATTTCTCCACTTCCTTGGTACGAACTCGTTTTACCATGTGATGCATTCGTGCCATGGAATTTCAACATCAACGGTTTGGAATGTCATAGACCGCGTTACGCCGGCAATACTAAGTTTACAGCGAGAACTTGTTTGTTGGCCCAAGCAGCCCCTTCGAATCGCTTCAAAGTTTCATGATATAGCTGGGTTTCCTTGTGTTGCTGGTTGCGTGGATGGAACCCATGTTCTGGTAAATCCCCCGGCTGGTGATGAAGATGCATACGTGAATCGGCATCATACGAAATCCCTCAATGTGGCCATGGTTTGCGGCCCAGATTACTCAATATATTTCTGTAGCAGCCGATGTCCTGGGAGATGGCATGACTTGCAGGTTCTCAAAGAGAGTACTCTGTGGACTGCATTTGAAGAAAATGCTCAGAGGCCATTCCCTGGAGCAGTAATTCTAGGCGACTCTGCCTACTCGTGCAACAGCTGGCTGATTCCTCCTTTCAGGGGAGATGTAGAAGGTGCTCGCCTCAGGTTTAATGAGGCGCACAAGAAAACCAGAAGCACCATAGAGAGAGCCAATGGTGTTATAAAAAAAAGATTCTACACTCTACAAATAGGCTTAAGAGTCAGAAGTATGGAACGAGCTGCTGAACTTATCCAGTGTGCAGCCATACTACACAACATTTGCATACTATTTAACAATGATGGTGCTGATCTTTTGGATGACGAAGATCTGGAAATTGATGAAGGGGAGTCTGCCGAGCAAGACGAGGGGCAGGAGGACAGACGGCAAGAGCTCTTGACGCATTTTCTTTGAATTAAAGTGAGACAATGTCGATCGATGTGAAATCAAATTGTTAAGGGCCTTAAAAACATTTAGTTTACATTTCTTATTCGATCTTCATTATTTGCAGATATTGTATTTATAAAACTATAATGATATGCTTAGGACGATCCCCTAGCCCAAATATGAAATTGAAAAAGAACAGAAGCTGTCATTGAATTCATTAAACCATGGTATGAGCTATGTCATTGAAGTCATTTCAATAATTATTGATATCCTCTTGTCCGTTGCCCTCCCTCTAATAATTAAACAAATGATTGCAAACCACCAACCTTCTAAGACTAATTGTTTTTATTAACGGCGTGATTACTTTCTAACAAAGTGATACAATTCTGTAAATTATTGACATTATTAGCTTTCATTCTCTTGATTGCACTTACGCAATTCTCAAACTTAACAGTCAAATTATTTCTATTAATCCATCGCCTCGAAATCTTTCTTCAATATTTTAATCTCCAAGGACAACTTTGAACACTCTAAAAGTAGTTTTCTTTTCCTAATTCGTAATATGTCTTCTTCTAATTCTGCTGTGGAACTGACAGTGGCCTTTTTCAGCCCCTTCTTCGATTTGATGGTAGGCTTTTGGAATACTGATGTCTTGTCTTCTTTGGCTTCCTTTGGTTTGGCTGAAGGTTTTGTTTCATGCTTTGCTTTTGCATCTAAATGAATAAAAGATTGGTAGATACATGAAAATCTCATCTTTAAACTCATCGCGTTTGAACGAAGCTAAGTTGCGATTAAAGTAAGAAAGAAACATTTTCATTTGGGAACGCGATAATCGCGCCTGACCTAGCTTCAAATTGACAACTTGCTCGCAGAGAAACGAAAGAAGGACATTTTGATTTATAAATGTTGTTTCTGGTTATTCTAAATTATCTCACCTTCGGTCTCAGGTGTAGTGCAGACAACCTCTTCACTCTCAAACACAATTGGTGTGTCTTCAACCTTCACAGGCTCCAAGTTTGCGCTCTCTCTTCCAAGTATATCAAGGACTGTATCGTCCAGCTCTGTGAGTTCACTCCCTCCTGCACCTGTCTTTTTCGAGTCACTGACTTTTTTTATCGTACCGCGGCGAATGTTTGCCCAGATAACATCTCTCAGGGTTTTTATGTTGACGTTCGCTCCAACACCATTCAGTTGTCTTAAGATGCTTTCCCACGCCTCCTGTTTCGCCTTTTTCGTTACAGTCGAGGAAAATGGAACCAAAACAACTGATTTGTTATCCCTCACAAGCTGCGCTAATAGCAATTTCTGGGATTTCGACAACATGCTGAAACGACAGGGAAAAAATCGACGCGGTCTACGAAATAAATTTTCCGCACTGAGCTGAAATAATTTGCACTTGTAGTTTACATATCCACTCAGTGCTATTTACAATTGTACGGTTACAATTGTAATTAACACTTGTAGTAAGACTGCTTGTACACGTGTAAATTCCAGTGTTTGAATTTTTTTTATTGAATTCTTCTATTTACAAGTCGGACTTTACATGCGTTTTTTACAACTGTAGAATCTACAAGTGTAATTTCTTTATTGAACTGACCCCAGAACATGTGGAAGCCACACAATAAAATATAACATTCCAACATAAGATCAGCTAAAACACCAAATATTCTGCCAAAGCACTCCTCTTATCTTAATACTGTTCCACCTAATGAAACACATGGCAAAATTAACATTATTTTATATTTTCATTTTATTTTACACCTTTTCTTCGCGTTCAAAATTGCACACTAAAGATGTTTAATCTTGTTCACTTTTTCTTTAAGCCAGGGCTTCCTGTATTGTTCGCGTCCATTGCGGAAGTAACAAGAACAACCACTGGAAAAAAGTTGCATCGATTTTATTGAATCAACTGCTCAACTTGCTCATGCTGTTTACTAAAACACGATGAGTTGCGAAAGTTTATCGTTCTGAGAGTTGTCAGAGTACCTTTAAAAGAAGAAAAACTGTGTTAGAGAAGAACCCGTAGATCGAAAAAAATAACTGAGTAGCCTGATGTTAAGTCTTTGTTGCGCTCACATCCGTCGAAGAACCAGCCTCTTGTAGCAGAGAACTTTTGACTAAACGCCCAGAAAAAACTACAGTGGAAAACGCCTATACTGGAAATTATTTTTCAATAATTCTATGAGATCCTCTTCCTATTTTAACCGGTTTAATGAACGCAAATCCAAGGCGTTTTGATCGGGGCGGGAAAACCAGCCGTCCTATTCATCTTGGGAGACCGGCAACGCCATCACTGGAAGTCGTACTAGACTCGTTTCCAGACTATTCCGCGCGCTCTCCCGTTCTGAAATGATGTTCCCGTCCTCTTAGCAGAGAGGCATTTTGCTGCACATGCGCCAGTAGAATTTTGTCCGGCGCGTTCGGCGCCATTGTGATACTTTCAGCGCGCTTCTGCGGGTTTTTAACTGGGCGATCTACACTTTTTTGTAAAATGTTTTGGAGAGGAATGAAAGAAAATGACAAGTATGCCAATATTTCTAACTCTGTGGATACTCGTGGTGTTTGCTGGCCCCTCTGATGAGGATATTTTAATGATCAAAGTGCAAA